GGACGTATACCCCATGCCACGCATCGACGACGCCCTTGATTCACTGCAAGGCGCCGAATACTTTTCAAGCCTTAATTTGCGTTCGGGATATTGGCAAATTCCCATGCACGATGACAACAAAGAAAAAACGGCATTTGCAACCCCCGATGGCCTATACGAATTTAACGTGATGCCTTTCGGGCTCTGCAATGCGCCCGCGACGTTTGAACGCATGATCGACACCGTACTGCGTAGTCTCAAATGGAAGACGTGTCTCTGCTACCTTGATGACATTATCATCTTTTCATCAACATTTTCTCAGCACCTGAGGCGCTTGGATGACGTCCTAACATGCCTTGCCGGTGCAGGTCTGCAGCTCAACACTAAGAAATGCCGTTTCGCCACCAAATCCATCAACGTTCTCGGTCATGTCGTCAGCAAGGACGGTATTCGCCCTGACCTTGACAAGATCACTGCCGTCCTTCGATTTCCACGCCTCACAAGACTTAAGGATTTGCGAAGTTTTCTTGGCCTCACATCCTATTTTCGCCGCTTCATACGAAATTTCGCTTCAATAGCTGCGCCACTTCACAAACTACTTGCTTCTAATGCACCCTTTGTGTGGTCCAAGGAATGTCAGTCGGCGTTTGACCTATTGAAGGAAGCTTTGACGTCAGAGCCTGTACTCTGCCATTTTGATGACACCGCCCCAACACTCCTGCATACAGACGCCAGCGGTTGCGGTATAGGTGCTGTTCTTCTCCAACGAGATAACTCTGGACGGGAAAGAGTCATCGCATATGCTAGCCGAATGCTTACTTCTACCGAAAAGAACTATACCATCACTGAGCAGGAGTGCCTCGCTGTGGTTCGGTCCATACAAAAGTTCCGTCCTTATCTGTACGGCCGTCAATTCACCATCGTAACGGACCACCACGCCTTATGCTGGCTTTCTACAATGAAGAACTTGTTCGGACGCCTGGGTCGTTGGATTTTACGCCTACAGGAGTATCAGTTTGAGATTATTTATAAATCGGGCAAAAAACATCAAGACGCCGACGCTCTTTCTCGTTGCCCACTACCTAAGGCTTCGTTCGACACTCCAGCTGCCACCTTCAACGACACCAGGGCGGATGTGACTCCCACTTCTGTTGCCTTGCTCGCCTCGCTGTACCAACCGCCAATCGACGATGAACAACCCTTCAGTTCTTGCCAGCAGGCTGACCCGCATTGTCGGCGCATTATAGACCAACTCTCAGGAGCTACGCGTCCACCCAATGCATGCCTTCGTCGACAACTCGAGCACTTCAAGTTTCAGGACGGTGTGCTGTATCATCACATATATCATCCTGACGGCCAACGCTAAGTACCTGTTCTGCCACGCGCTCTTTAACATCATGTACTTAACGCCTTTTATGACGATTTGACTGCTGGCCACCTCGGCTTTCACAAAACCTACGACCGCATTAGAAGCCGCTTTTATTGGCCTGGGATTTCTACCAGCGTAGCAAAGTACGTGAGTTTTTGCTCTCCAAGCCAACTTCGTAAACTTCCGACATCTCCCCCGGCTGCTCAGTTACAGCCAATGACGTGCCCTACAACACCTTTCGAGGTCGTCGGTGTCGATCTTTATGGGCCCCTTCCTGTTACTGGTGCTGGAAATAGATGGATAGTCACCGCCGTAGACCATATGACACGCTACGCCGAGACAACTTCAGTAGCTACTGGTTCAGCATCGAAAGTTGCCGACTTCGTCCTTCAGGCCGTAATACTACGTCATGGTGCTCCTCGTGTACTTCGAAGTGACTGTGGAAAGGTGTTCTTATCACAGCTTTTAGGTGAAGTTCTTCGCGTTTCTGGTACTACACACAAGATGGCGTCTAGCTACCATCCTCAAACAAACGGTCTGACCGAGAGATTTCATCGAACCCTTGCCGACATGATCGCCGTATACATTCAACCGGATAACAGAAACTGGGATAAACTTATACCGTTCCTCACTTTCGCCTACAACACCGCTGTTCAGCGCACAACCGGCTACTCACCGTTTTATCTCGTTTACGAACGTTCACCTACTTTCTTTATTGATGTTTCCTTCTTCACCAGCAACGGCCCTCCATCACCATCTTCTTGCGAAGAATATATTTCTCGCCTTGCCCAGTGCCGCCAGCGCGCTCTTATGAACACGGAAGCTACGCAACAAGCAAGGAAGGCCGTCTACGACACCTCTAATCGTGTGGTATCATTCCTACCGGGTGACGAGGTGCTGCTATTGACACCAATTCGCACACCTGGTCTCTGCGACAAGTTCCAGCCTCGATTCATCGGCCCATATGTTGTTTTAGAGCAGACTTCACCTGTCAACTATCGTGTGACGCCTCTTGTCGTGCCAACTGACCGCCGTTACCGCAGCACCGAAATTGTACACGTTTCCCGCATGAAGCTTTTCACACGACGTTCCTCGTCACCTTGACTACCCGCCCGCAGCGGCCAGGCTGGCCGCTTCCGGGGGGGGATCAGTGTAGGCATCTATTCTATGCGCTTCATCCTCATCTGAACAGCAGTCAATCATCATCATATGTTCTGGCTGATTATCATCATCTTCTTTTGAACGTGCGCTTCATCTTCGGGTCCGTTGTGCTTGTTCGTTCCCGAGTTCACGGCCAATAAACCTCGTTACAACCAAGTCGTCATAATATCAGTATTTTCTTACTTCATGTACATGGAACACCATTTATTCAGACCTCATTATTATACAAAGCACAATGATCCACTATTTGGTCTTAAAAACAAGGTTCAATATATTGAGGCAGGTAACCATCACCAGGCAATAAATTGTCAGTACCTGTGTTGCATCAGTGTTTCTTTGTGTGCGTGCCACACTCTGTCAAAAATTAATAGTGAATTGAAACTTGTGCTGATTTTAATAGTCACAGACATGACTTGTGTCTTTTGTGAATTTTTAAAATCATGCGCCATGTGATGGACAGCAGCCACAGAAACACATGGATAGTGCGCATCATAACTGCTCTTCTTGCCTTCGCAGTGGCGGAGAGAGAGGGCATGCGGGAACCCTGGCAGATCAGGCACTAGGAAGTGTACTTTCGTTTCCTGTTGCACATGTACTGTGTGTCAGCACTCAATTATGTGTTCTGCTGCGAGAGAAATCATATATGGACAGTCTCGATGGGTTTTCGCCGTCACCATTGCCGTCGGCATCACGTCGCGCAAAAAGCTCAAGCTGACAAGATACCCCAGAGCATCATACATTCTAGCGGCCAATCTACATCGCTAGGAGAGCGCATGTGATAAAATCCCCCCACACCTGCCAGACCGGTCGTCCAATGCGGGATTCCTCTAGCAGCAACTGCGACGTTTGACTTTTGATTTTTTTGTGAGCACACTTGTTGCCAGCGTCTCGTTTACCCTTCTACTTGCTGCACTCTCAACACGAAGAGGTGGTGCGAGAAGTGTGCCCGGAGTGGCCACACTTTTTTACACCACCGTCTTGTGGAGTTGCGTGAGACCATATCCATAAGTGTTAGCTGCCAGCTTCACTTCGTATAACATTACAATTTGCTGCTATTGCACTCCTTGCTTCACTCTTATGGCAAAACTGACTTTTTCTTATTACCGTGAGTCAAGTAATAAACAAGTAGCACTGACTGGTAGAAGTAAGCACGAGTTACTAGTTATTTTGCAAGTGATGGTTTAGGAAACAGACACTGCTGACAAGGCTAGTAGTTTTTTGCAAACGATCCTGATTGGCAATAAAAGAAAGTGCTGCTGCTTGTTTGGGGACACCATTGAGGTGTATCTCCACGGCCTTGCGCTCGAAGGATGCTTTTCTGGACTTCTGAAGAACCAAAGCAGCCAACACCACAGAGTGTACTTACTGCAGACGCATTTTTTTTCTGTAAGAGTGTTGCAACAAGTTTTTAAGCAGCTGACCAATATTTTTTGGAGCTGTTTGCAGTTACCAGTTGCACCATTACCAACTTATAAAATTGGGGCATGAGAGAGTTTTGCGATAAAGGAGGCGCCAGTAACAAGTCTCACTCAGCACTGAACCTGGCATTGCCAATGACTCAAAACGAAACACGGCCCTCATAAATGGAAGCATTGCAATTCAGGTTGCCTTGTTTTAGTGCAATTTTAGAGCACAGCTCTTTTGTTTCTGTGGTGCGCGATCGGGTTTCAATAAGCCTAGCTTGCTAATGCACAATCACGAGTGTGATTATGCAGTTCTGAAGGCACACGGCAAAAACTAACTATTGCTTGTGGCAGCTTTGATCACAGTCGCTATTGATGTGATCACAGGTAATGTCCAGACATTTCGCGAGCACCGAGTAATATTGAAAACTAAACAAGTTTGCCCGAGACTGCCTAAAGTCTCTTTCATCCTGAAATGCAATTGTGGTAAGATTGTGGATGGTGACTGTTTCTGTCGTTTGCGAACAGTAGTCACGCTTCTTTGTGAACCACATTTACAGTGCTTTTTGTGCTTCGCACACTCCAAGGATTTTTCGTATGAACCGGTTAACGACCAAATAACACTGAATGAACAAGAATATGATGCCAGTAACGAATAAAGAGGACTGACTGGACAAGAAAGCATACCCAAATGATCAGATTCTCCGAACTGCAGGTTTACTTTAACTCTATATATAGTCTATACTAAGAGGTTGGGAGTCAGTTCAGTCACAAGAGACACAAAAAAAAGGCCACTTTATGATCTCTTCACCAGCTTTCCCAAACACAAAAGAATTTCCTCAGCCAAACTAAGTGAAAAAAAAAATCTGATGTACTAGTACAAGCTGCTCATTTCACTCAATGGTGTTGACAAAACACCTCCAAGCCACGAAATGCTGGTACACATTGGTCCATGAACACCTTTTCAAAAGACTACACTGATGTTTTGATTATTGTGTTTTGAGAGGAGCTAGTTGTCTTAGTTGATGTTCTTTTTCTGACATGGTGGGTTAATCATGAAATGAAGCAATTGAGAAGAACACACTTGCCTTCAGCGCGTTATGACCATCTTTCAAGGAATTAGCGATTTCCTTAGCCCCAGCCGTTTTCAACAAGCAGTCACCGAAGTTGATATTTTCAAGGTTCTCAAGGTGACGCAGTGCCTGAAAAGTAAGACAGGGTGAGCATTTGTCACAAAGCTGCAAAAGCAGCCCTTGCATCAACCCTAGACACATCCTCCATCAAAACAAAGGTCTGTTAATCATAACACGAGTCAAGGCAATGTCTAGGCAAGAACTGTATACGGTGAATGATTCAACCACACTTAATGCGTACTTCGCTCAAACCTCGATATAATGAACCCTGATGTAACGAATTATCGGTTATAACAAAGTAAGTGAAAAATAGTTCTGTCATAAGTACATACAGTGTTACGAATATAAGGTTATGACGAATTTTCAGATATGACGAAGTATTTTTGCGGCAGATTTAGGTTTGTCAGAACGAGGTTTGAGTGTACAAGATTCAACTATGTGTTCACTGGTGTTACACTGGTGTCGTTTACAAAGTACCATACTCTTGTATGGCCTGGTCATTGCTGCTCAGCCTTTCTGTGTGCCTTTGTCAACACACATAGCATGTAAGTCGGCCCTCGTTAATTCAAACTCGAAGGGACTTCTGAATTTTGTTTGAATTATCAGAAGCTTTCAGATATATTTCCGATTGTGGGTGAAGTGACATCACACATTATGATTAGCCATTGATTTTATCAGATTTAAGCATTTTTTAAGCGATTTTAAAAACTAACTGCACGCAATGAATAGAAAGCAGAGGTGTAAAGTCCACAAGTTTGCACGCAATGAATAGAAAGCAGAGGTGTAAAGTCCACAAGTTTATCGGCCATTTACTGCTGATCAGACCTTTCAAAGAAATCGCCAACTGCCAACTGCTTCTTTCCTATATGTGCCTTGAGCACAAAGCTCTATACCAGTTGAGAAGCATCACGGTTTACCATGAGTGTGCTTCGTTTCAAGCATTTGTTTACTAGCGAAGCCTTTTTCTGTAAAGGCCTAAGGTGCTTATTTTTCATTTTTAGGCTTATTATTATATAAAGCATGCAAATTTTTAAATAGCCGTAGGAAGCAGCAGATATTTTCGGGTATGATAAAGCAAAAAACCAAATGATGGATTTTGACACTGAAAGACTAGATGGCCAACCAAAAATAGAATTTTGTTTGAATTAACCAAAAGTATGAACTATCAGAGTTAGAATTATCGTGAGTCTACTGAACATTTAGTGTGATAAAATCTCATCAACACAAATCTACATGAGGCTGTCTTTTTTTCTCTTACCGGAGCCAATTGCTCAGAGTTCCAAAGTGTTCTAATAAGGTTAATGCGATAGCATCTTCACCTAAAATGGGATAATACAACAACTGAAATCAGTTTTTACTGGTATTTCTGGAACTCACAGCTTAATGTACCAGTGTATTAGCGCAAATTAGGTTTCAACAACCCACAAACACCATGTTATGTGCGTAAGCTGAAAAGGTTCTGCAGTTGCACCACTCAAATTACACAAATGCCAGGTGAAGTGAGAAAATTACCCCTCCCTTTTTTTTTTTAGGAAAAACATTAACTCAAAGTGATAAGCAACAAAAATGTCTTTGCTGCAGTTGCATAGTGTCAAGCGGCACTGCTCTGCATAACACATTGTACTATGTATAAGCTTTCCAAAAGAGTTTGTAGCTGAATCATTGATATGTGGGGTTTAACGTCCCAAAACCACCATATGATTATGAGAGACGCCGTAGTGGAGGGCTCCGTAAATTTCGACCACCTGGTGTTCTTTAGCGTGCACCCAAATCTGAGCACACGGGCCTACAACATTTCCGCCTCCATCAGAAATGCCGCTGCAGCAGTCGGGATTTGATCCCGCGACCTTCGGGTCAGCAGCCGAGTACCTTTAACCACTAGAGGAGACAGGAGAAGACATGAGACAGAGCGCTGACTCACTAGACCACCGCGGCGGGGCAAGAGTTTGTGGCTGAACACAACTACTTCACACTTTCAAAGGCTTGCATTCAATGACGTGATTTTCGTACAATATGGTTTATTTTCTGTTTTTTTCTTCTAAACACTGTATCAAAGGCAAAACACTTCACATGTACCTATATTTTTCATTCAATATTTAAAAAGCAGGGGAAAGCAATCTTCATACACAAAATGTAATATAATTTAAGCTATGATGAAATATTTACTAACTGCACACTTCTCATGTGCTGACTTTATGAGCTTAGTTTTTGTGAATACTATACCATCAATTAAAAAAAAAATGAGCTGTTAATGAAAGCATCATTTGATCCTTTTTATTAAACTGGATGCTCAGGTCTTACTGAATTAAATGTCATTAGATTTTACAGTTATCGAAGAGCACAACAAGAGTATTTTAATGGTTACAGCTTTCCTGGAACGAAATTCTTCAAGGTTCAACAATCTCTTTTGAATGATTGAGAAAAGGCTCCTTACTTATTCCACGTTTTTGAAAAATTCATGTCACCCCTAAGTAACAATTGGTATCCTATTACAGTCACTAAATATGCAGCATTTCAGCAAGATAAAAATCATTAAAATTTAGTGTGCCGAAACTGAAAAAAAGCATCCCCGAGTATAGTAGGTTTACAACAAAATAAATTGAGATAAAAAAAAAACAATGAGAAAATAGATTAAAAAAAAAACAGAAACATCATTGATTGCTGGTATAATATAAGGAACTTTTATGGCCAAGAAAGTAATCTAGAATGCATGAAAACTGATGAGGTTATGTACCCATCATGATAGAATCCAAAAATAAGCTTTCTCAAGGTATTTTGATGCTGTTGGTCTCAAAATGCAGCTTCCTTCTCAAAGAGGAAAAAAAAAAAAACGTGTGAATTATTCATGCAGTTTTTCAGACCAAATCCACAACCCAAATTCCAGTATTTGCAGTCATTCCACAGGTTGGCCAAACCTTGTGCCATTGGTTTCTATTAGGCCTGTGCGAATATTCGAATGCTTCGAATATTCGAACGAATAGGTGAGTATTCGAATTCGCTTTGATTTTCAATTATCGAATATTTTCGAAGTATTCGCAATAAACAAATAAATGTACAATAGTCCGCCTGTAAAGTGGTTTCACTGCAATGTCGTAATGGAAAGCCGTGAAAGCACCTACTCAGGAGAAATTTGCTTTGCCACGAAGCCCTCCTTCAGATTTAAAGGGGCCCTGCAACTTTGCTGAGCATGGTCAGAAAACGCTGCCGATTGTTAGTACAGTGAAAGCTCGTTAATTCACACCTCATTAATTCAAAATTTTGGATAATTCAAAATGGTCGCCGCAGTCCGGTCCGCAGTGCATAGGAGACCATGTGTAAAACGATTCGTTAATTCGATCAGAAATTGCTGCCTCTACGGATAATTCGAAGTGCACGCCGCCGAGCGTCATCATCGTCAAACACTAGTGGAATCTTTTACGGTGGAACGATAGGTGGCACAACCAGTTTTTTCAAGCTTCAAGTGGCCACCGAGCAAAGGGCGAGCAAAGTATGGCCTCCAAAATTCAGGGAGCAATTTTTTTTTTTCGTAGCCCTCCCGCTATCTCAGCGCCTGGCGCCACTTGTACGCGGGACCCACGGGACGCTGAGGAGTCGGCGGAGTAGTCCCACAGAACACCGACTTTCCTATCTCCCTCTTTTTTCCGTCGCTTGCCTTTCTACTTCTCCGTCTATTTTCCTTCTATTCTTTTTATCCCTCCTTCCCCTCACCCCTATAAGGCACTGCGCCGTGTCGCCTGAAGGCAGACAGAAGGTCCGTTCGATTCGCCTGCACCAAGTGAACCACTTCACGAGGTGCTGCACCTTACCATTCGTTTCAGCGGTGCAGCATTGACGACCGCTGAACCCTGCCATTCGTTTCGAAAGGTGCAGAAGAGGTGCAGCACCGGTTCACGATTTTCCTGCACCTCCTTCGCTGACGGTGCCGGCTTGGTGCAGGCGCACGTGCAGCTGAGCAGACGACGCAGCACTTAGACGTAGGTGGCTTAGGCGCCGTACCCGCCTCTACAAATGCGGTAAGTTTTGCCAAGATGTTTGCGCCTCATAAACTGTCCGCATGTGCGTTTCGCCATAGGTCAGTGTTTGCTGAATGGTGTAAATTAACCGAAAAGAAATAAGGCCAACACCTTGTCGGCACATCGTCATTTGTTTCGGGTGTCGTGCTGTGCCTGCACCGCTGAACTTCGCGTGCACAGCCATGAACCGGTTCCGACCGGTGCAGGTGAATCAAACGGACCGAGAAATTAGGTGCCTTTTCCCTCTTCATTCTAACCACTACCACCACCACCACAGAACACCTACGTAGTCCTAGCAGTCCTAGGCCGCTCCCGGCAGCGTCACTTTGTTCCTCGAGCACGTTGTTCGTTCACGAATGATTTTGTGCGCAGGCGACAGGAAGGACTTCGGCATTACGCTGCTCACTGCCAGGCACATGTTGGTGCGCGCATGGGAACAAGTGACCGCGACCACAATCGCAAACTGTTTCCGCCACAGTGGATTTGCAGCTGGAAGTGCGCAGCATAGTTGTGACGTCGACGTGGATGGGGCTGAGGAGCTCATGCCAGCGGCATCGCGCGACACTCTTCGGGGCGTACGTTTTGCCGATTATGTTGAAGTAGACACCGGTGCATCGGTATGTGGTGCCCTGACTGATGAGGACATTATCGCACAAGTAGCCGGTGTGCAGCCTGATGCTGAAGAGCCAGAAGGTGAGGAAGACGAAAATGACGAAGCGCCTGTGCGCCCGTCAGCTTCTGCGGTGATGGAGGCACTTAATTTGGCGTGTCTCCTCTTCAGCTTTGAAGAGGGTGAAGAGGATTCCCTGCGCCGCGTCCGCGCGCTGGAACATGGAGCCGCTGCTGTGGCATTCAGAGAATAGAAGCAGATGGTCATCACCGACTTTTTTGGCCAATAAATATTTTTCGTGCCTCCACCCCCGAAATCCACCCATTTTTGCTCACTTTCATTATTTCGAATTTTGTTTAATTCGAAATTGCTCAGCGTTCCCGTGGAAATCGAATTAACGAGCTTTTACTGTAGAGGCTGCCGATAACACGCGAGGCAAGTATTGTTGTGCAGCACGCGGCCTGAAATTCACAATAAATTTTCAAAGCTAAAAATTGCTTCCCTCAGCAAATGACACTACAAGCTCAAAAATCACTTGTCACAGCCAAGAAAGAAAATACGGCTCTGGTCACAGTCACTGGCTGATTTGAGCATGGCGCGCTCGTCGTTATCGGACCGCCGCGTGAGGCCGCCGCTTGTCCACAAGTACGTGCACGATCGCACTGAAAGGCCTCATATTCGAAGAAAAAAGAGAGAGAAAAGATGCTGAAGGTCGCTAGTCACTCATGACGTTTTTTTCTATTCTCGTGCCATCCTTCCTTACTTAGCTTCCAGATCTTTTGACGGGTCGAGAATGGAGAATGCAATTGCAGCATGCGACAAATTTTTGGAACTCTGCTCGTACTGGACCGATTCTAGAAACTTTGCGGCGGTAAATTTGTGAGGCGACAAGCATGTTTACTGCTCCATGGATACTTGAAAAGGTGTTGCAGGGCCCCTTTAAAGGAACATGTTACCCTCAAATCAATCCATTTTATTAAGCTTGTAATGATGGTTTATATGATTTAAATATAATAAATTTTAAAACGTTATGTATCTTACAGGTTATCACTCGGATCCTACCGAAACTACTAATCGAGGTTGTTTCAACTTCCTTTCAACGAAAAAAAAAAAAAGGCATTTGCATAGAGCCCCTATTTCAATTCAAAAGAAATATCGTGCAGGTTAGTTAGGTTATGGTAAATGTTCCCTTTTTTTATATGTCATACATACTATTCGAATTCGATTAGAAATTATTCGACCAAAATCCCTATTCACTTCGAATTCGCTTCGACTCTGAAATTCACTATTCGCACAAACCTAGTTTATATGCATTGCAACGCAGTATTCTATTGTGTAAATCACAGGCAGCATTTGCCATTTAGTCCCACTGAAAGCTCAGAGCTTGGAACAGTGACAGGTACAACATGCTTGTAATACCTGTGCCATATGCCGGGCCCCTTTCATTGTGAACGTGTTATCGTTGAGGTCTAGTATGCGAAGGTTTTTGTTTGACATTAAACCCTTGGCCAAGGCGGCAATCCCTTCGTGGTAGATGCCATTCTGAAATAAGGCCACCTCTTCCAATGTGTGCAATTTCTGAAACCAAGTCAAACAGAATGGGCAATTATGTTATCATTCTCAATGACAAAAACCGTGTGCATTATTTTAACTATTAGAAATGAAAAACCATACAAACAAGGTAAAACGAAATGATGCAACTTTGTGGTGTTTGTAGCAAACACTGATGATAGTTCTTAGCATGAGCAATGAATAAAAGCAGTTAAATCTGTAGTACATATTTTACTCTATCACAATGATAATATTGCTGGATGTAGTACAACATGCAAGAAACACAGAAGATTGTGTCTGTGAGACAAACAATATTTTATGAAGCCCATGGCTTCATCCAAGAGGCGTGTTTCACACTAATTATGCTGTCAGAGCAAAATAACCTGTAGAAAGCTTTATGCAAATTAAACATATTTTTGAAGAGTACTTTTGCCTAAAGCTCCATCATACTAACAAAGATCTTTCAGCAATCTCTTGACACATCTAGCCTACCAACTGATTGGAACAATGGGAAGGTAATTCCGCTTCATAAATCTGGCAACAATTCAGCTCTTCATTACAGACCCATTTCACTAACCAGTACATGTTGTAAATTACTTGAGCAGGAAATATTTAAACGATGAATTAGTAATTTGAAAGGTAGCCAATTTTTCACGCTTGCACAACATGAGTTTCGCAAGACATACTCATGCGAAACTCGCCTTCTCTCATTCACTCATAAACTGCACCAAATTCTTGACGAATCAACATGCGCGGACTGCATATTCTTGGACTTTTCTAAAACATTTGACAAGCTTTGTTACCAACTGCTACTTTACAAACTCAGCTTTCTTAACCTCGATCCTAACCTTTTCGGATGTATTAGGTGTTTTCTTCTCGATCGCTTACAATTTGTTAGTGCTAACAGCCATAATTCACCCTTTACTAATGTAAATTCCAGTGTGCCACAGGGCTCCGTTTTTGGACCTCTGTTATTTTAATCTACATTAATGCTGATGTTTCCTCGCATATCTTTCTCCGCTGATGACTGTGATTTTTCACAAATTTAAAACCACTAATGACACTAACGCTCTCCAATCTGATCTATCTGCTATATCTAGCTGGTGCAATTAATGGCGAATGAAACTTAATGTGAAAAAATGCAAAATTATGCGGGTCACCCAGAACCCAAACATTCCTGCTCCCTCTTATTTTCTTAATGGTGTTCCATTCGAACCTGTCTCTTCATATGAATACTTAGGTGACCACGTCTCATCTAATCTGAATTGAAATGTCCACACAGTGCACATCATCGATAATGCTAACCACATGCTAGGCTATCTATGCCGCAACTTTTCCGCTGTTCCCTCTTCTGTTAAACTAATACTTCACAAAACCTTAATTCGACCAAAGTTAGAATACGCTGCCTCTGCGTGGGAACCAATGCCAACAAAATTAACCACTGCCCTAGAACTCGTTCAGAATAACTCTGCTTGTTTCATTCTGTCTAACTACAATCGCATTGCTATAGCACATCAGCCATGAAAGCCATTCTTTCTCTTCCATCTGTAAGCACACGTCAAAAAATTGCTCGCCTGAACTTGTTCCATAATATATATTATCACCCAACTCTTCACGGCGCACTCCTTCTTCCCCCACAGTATATGTCCCACCGCATAGATCATTGCCATAAAGTCGGTGCTCCATTTTCAAAAACGAAAACATTCTGCCAATAATTTTCACCACGCACCACGGTCGAGTGGAACCAACTTTCATCTCGAATCACATCAATCACCGACAATAAACGTACTCAAGAAGCACTAACCAATGTTATTTAAATTTATAAACCCGTTTTACTTTACTGTTATTATTAATCACTGTGTTCGTTTTACTGGTGTATATATGTATGCAATTTTTTCCCACCCCCCTCTGTAATGCCTTTGGCCGTGAGGGGTAAATAAATAAATAAAAAGATAAATACCGTTCTAAAAGACCTATTCCCACTAATTCAACAAAACCTCACAATATTCCTCAACTGACTATGTCGCAACTTACATTGCCAAATTGTAGTACACACTGCCATGCTGCAAGGAGAAATGGCTCGGAAACCAATAATGAATATGATACGAACCCCGAAAACGGCACCCATGGCGATTGCTCCAGGATTCTCCAACCTGTTACGGCCACAAACTAAGGTCCGCAGAGCAAGAGGCTTGCCGGCCTTCGTGCTGTCCTCAATACATTTTGTCAGGGCCTTCGCCAAAAACTCGGCACCCCCTGTACCAAGTCCATTGTTGTTCAACCGCAGAACCTGCACGAAATGTTCCACAGAACAGCAACTGTGTAATAATTGAAAAAGCAGTACGATCCAATTAGATATGCACATCAGATACATATGGACACACCTCTTTACAAACAACTTTTAAGTGAGACTGCTGCTGTTCTCTTTGCAGTTTTTTTTTATTCTAATAATGTTTATATGGGCACTCTCGGCTAGATTCTGCTGCCAGCGTCGACATTGCGAACTGCTGTCATTCATTGTATATGTATACGCATTTATATATATGAAAACGCAAGAAAAACAATCCAGAATAAAAAAAAACTTCAAAGCGCGGAATCCAACGCCGGACCTCTTGCTTGTGAGTGCGTGGCCTTAGCCACTGAGCCACGAAGGAGCACCTTTTTCAACGTTTTAAATGGCAAGCTATTTATATCTACCGCTTACTGCTGGCAATACCAATCTCAGGGGGAATATCGTGCTTTCACCATTAACCAGCGAGATGATGCAATGAGCGCGCTTATGTGTTTATCTCCCACCCGTACTTTGCCTCACGGAGTGGGGGGGATAAACGCTCAAGCGTGCGCGCGCTTATCTCACGATGGGGAAAACATACGCCTTGGGCTTTTACCGGAACAATTTTGTTGTAGTTACTTGGTGCACAAACATGACTGGACTCGTTGCACAGTCTCCATTTGCAAAAAGGGCACTCTTTTCAGACACAGCAAAGTAACTACTGAAACACGTATTCGTGTTTCTCTGTAGCTATGAGTGGGTTGCATGCATCATTTGGCGTGAGAAACGCCGGGCACGTTTTGATTTACTTGCAATTCTTTGCGTGACATTTCCATTTGTCACTATCGCATTCATTGCTTTGCCTTCGCGATAAAGGAGTGACTTTACAACTTCTAGGACAAGTACATTCCTAAGAAAAGTTTTGAAAAGTAGCTGCGGTAGTAGCAACAATACAATGAAGTACTCTATGTTTCAACTTTTCCATATTGTGTACCTGCTAACGAAAATGCCCAGCCTACTAATCACAACCCCCTTTTTGTTCATTCACTCATGACAAGCTTTTGATGCCGAAGCCTTGAAAAAATAAGGGGATGCTAAGCTTCCCCTTTAGGAGTGCGATAGCGATATTTGATAACGATATCCTGTTCCTAGTGCATACTTCAAACAGGAGGAAAAATGAAAAGGTAGGGGAGCGTTTTTGCAGCTCACGTCGCAGGCATAGTCTTTTTTAGGAGGCATTGGCAACAATGATCCACACCTACTGCATATGCCTTTCCCTAACGCTGCATGTCTGGTGCTTCATTCTAATGCCGGGTGCTCTAAGGCTACTAACAATGTGCAAGTGATCAGCCTGACGTACTGTATCAGCTTGGCGTACAATATCAAAAGGACATACATATCAGGGTGACATTCCTGATAGGAAAGCATCTAGGGCAGAGTTTCCAAGAACGAAAAAGCAAGTGAGGTTAGAATTGTTGTCAAACTGAAGGAAGTCACAAAAGGGTGCAACAACTTTGGGAAGGTGAAGTGACTAAGCCACTGCGAAAGTTACAGGCTCCAACAGATCTGAAGCTGTAGTTTATCACAATGCAATGTCCGACTCCAATCTTACGTTCCACAATAAACTTGAAATAAAAATGTCAGTCGAAACTTGGGGCATGCTGCACTGGATTGATTTTCTTGAAACAGGGCTGTGTTAACTCTACTTGAATGAGATATTTCGTGAAAAAATTTTGCCAGATGGGCAAGTACAAAACATGCTAAGTTGGTGCAATATCAACATTGTAAGGAAATGACAGGAACATTATTTTGGTGTCAGCATCACACATAACAGGAAAATGTTCAATAGTATTCCAGAGCGTGGTGATCCTGTGAATATGGGTCTATGCATGGTACCTTTTTGCAGCCTGCACACACAAAACGAGTGTCTGTTCTCTTGTTCAGAAGAGTTGTGTTGGCCCACGCAGCCCCATTTCTGCATGCAACTGCAGTGGGCAGAGTAAACTCTGTACTAATCAAGGAAAGCGAGACTATCTTGCGAGCATTGACGATAAACAAGGTAAGAGCAGGGTTAATAAACAGCGAGAATAAACTTTTGCCACTCGTGCAAGAGAGTGTCGATAACATTATTAAAATTATGTTTCATGCATCTTAGCTGCGGCCACGCGGTGAAACCAAAACCACGATAATGGCGTAGACCATCGGCATTGCCGTAGACCATACGACACGCTAAAGCTAGAAATCAGTTCAATTTATCTCTGCAAGAAGATAGTGCACTGACATTCTAAATGCTTGTTGTAAGTCCTAGGAGGTGGCAGCCCTTCCCAGTGAGACTAAATTGTCACTACAGCGCAAAATTTCAAACAGAGGGTTAAAAACGTACCCCTACGACAAAGAACTTGCACGACAGAAAACTTGCACCGTACGTGTATGGTAGGAACTCCCAAAGGATTGATGAAACGTACCTCAAGATGGAAGCAGACCGGTGAGCTTAGGAGAGGCAACAGTGCCCCAGCACCGATCGGTCCAAACGCATTGTCACTCAGGTCAAGTTCCGTCAATTTTGCCTTTGCTAGTAGCATACCGGAGCTCAGAAACCTCTGAAATCAGAGAAGGCAGATGTCTGTGTTTATAATAATGCACGAGACTAGTGCTAAGAGAGCAATGATAAAGTGCAAGCATACTCAACATTTTGTTTCTTGCTTTTGCAATGTTGGTTTCACATAACTCTGATGTACCAGGTACAAAAGCATACAAAAAAAAAAAAGCCTTCTGTCCATGGACACTTTTATGCACAGAAGTGGCCACCGTGTTCCATTGGTAAAACATCCTTGTTATACTAATGGTTAAAACATAATTTATCAATCTTTTATGCAGTCTACATAAAACCTGATGTTTGTGCTGCCTCAGCTGAAGCCAATTGTCTTGCACTTTGCCTACAAGTTGGTGAGTTTTGCTATCGCTTTTATTCCCACCAAGTGGAAGTGAAGAATAAAAAATTATATCCGGGGTTTTACGTAACGAAGGGTGCTAGAAACTTCAACCTTTTAGTGTTCAGCAATGTGCACAGATATTGCACCACACACACACAGCGAAATGCAACTGCCACGAACATGGTTGAGCTCGCGAGCTTCGGTTCAACAGCAGAGTAGTCATAATCAACATACCAGCGAGGCGGATGGGAAGCAAAAAAGCATTTATTCATTCTAAAAAACTAAGGCATGCAAGCACGGACAAAAGAAGGAAGTCGGGACAACACAAACGCCTCACTTCCTTCATGTGTCCATGTTTGCATGCTCTATCCCTTAGAATGAATACATACTAATTAACCAGCTTCGCTCTCTCTTATTATCAGAAAAGCACGCACTAGTTCTATTTCAGCTGATTTCACAGTCCCTACCGAGTCTGAAGAATTATTAGGCTGTGCTCGAGGCCAACAAAAAGTTGTTCCTAACTACATTTGAAGTTCGAAAAGCAGATGGTGGCAGGCATGTATTCAGATAGGTGGGCGACAAAATCACTGGTGCCTGCCATGAAAAAATACATGGACGCACACATATATATACAGTTAAACCCGCACATATCAACTTCACTACAAAACAGGAATTCGTTTAATATGTTGTAAAATTAAACTTGAAGGTTTTAAATAACACACAGCATTTTCGGTGCTCAAACTGGCTTCACAGCACTGCTTGGCGATAGTGCAAGGAAGGAAGCTTACAACCATCAAGAGGATTTTCTTTATTTGTTTTTTTTTTTTCACTTTGTAGTTGGGGATATGGATTATATTCTGGCACGTGCTGTAGGCGATAAAACATGATACTAATGTACACAGCGACTCAAGACCTTCAGGCAGAGCTGTGAGTGTTCATAGAGTACCACAAGCCTCTAGCCCTGCCTTGGCCCTGATGCTGACGATTTTACAACACTGTTAACAAAGGGAGCCGAGAATCAAATGGTAGCCCCACAGAACAAGGAATCGTGAGAAAAGCATGTGATGGCAAGCGATAGTTTGTAATTGCTCTGTGCGGCGTCCTCCTAATCACACGACACGCTCCCCCAAATGAATTCAGGAAAGTTCATGGGACATTTTGCCCTGCCCGATGTTTGAGATATGCAGTGCTCCAACTATTTTTATTCAATGTAGGTGCAAATTTTCCTACACATAGATGTACAATACAGTCGTATTAAGAAACAGATCGATATAAAGGATAATTCGACTTAATATAATTGGGTTAGATCATATACCTATGCTCTTTGTGATTACTACACACAAAGCTTTTGCATGCCATGACCACTGTACATGCATATTATTGTGGTTTAGAGTGGTTTTGCTAGATTTTTTTTTTGAAACATTAAAGAGCTTTCTGTCATGATATGACAACTTGCGCTCAGATTCCCGATGCTTCATGGCGTGATGGAGCCTCTAATACTTCTAACACTAAATATCCAATAAATTACAGCGGAAACTGGCAAAATAAAGGATAGCATCAACTCACTTACAACAGCATCTGGTATTTCAGTCCGGAGACGGCCCGTAAATAGGTCTTTCCATAAAGCTCTCTGTAAGATGGAGGAAGACGGAAATGTAAGCACAATGTAACTATGGTAAATAAGTAGCCACAATCGGCACATGAAATGGGTGGGGCACAATGCTCAGGCGACGTTCATGGAAGCGCAACACAAACTTTTATTGTGTATTTTAGTATAATGACTGGCAACTCACAAATACATCAGCCACATCATATCTCAGCTAATGTGACCGCTAAGCAAAATGTTCAGTGTTAAAATCCCATCGGCGTGACACGAACTGGAGATGGTGGAAACGAAACTACATGCATCACGTATTTCTAAATTTATATCGCATTTTCAACCCGTGGGCCTTGGACATACGCAAATGAAACAGCGTCTGTTGTAGAGAAAACAAAAGTAACTGCGACAGAAGCATGCATCTTTCCAATCACACGACTCTTGGGCTAATCTACCACGATAGGTATGCTCCAGCAGTGAAAATCAAACAAACTAAACTTGGGCTACGCCTTGGGGATACAGTACCTTCAGGTTTGGACAGGATTCCAACGCTTTGCCGATTGCCTTTGCGGCATCAACACCCAACGTGTTGCCCTCCAGACAAAGCATTTCCAACTTGGGGCAGCGTGTTATTGCTTCCACAACAACGCTCGCTAAAAAAAAAAAGCAAAGAGAAAAAGACACGGTGTACAAATGTTCTCACACCACGAATCTATAGAGGAACCTTCTAAATCGCTGCTTGAACTAGTCGTCGTTATTTAACGTTCATCATCTGTAAGCAAGTCCGGTCGCTGTCAAGCAGAGACGATGAAAGCAACAACCGCGCTCACAGTAACAGCAAAATCTTTCAGCGAAAGGAGAGTGCTAACCGATGTTCACAAGCAGTGTAAAAGCATGTCCTTACCATCCTTTTCGGTGTCCAACTTTAGGGCTTTGTCTTTAAAGCTAACCTCTTTTGAATCTGTGATGGACGTAGAAAGAAGCTGGTCCACCAGCTGCTTCACATCACCGCAAGCCATCGCCCTTGTCAACGAATGCGGCAATCCACTTGTCACACGAATTCTATGCTGTAAAGAACAAACGCATAAACGTTTGTACCGAACTCGTGAAGGCACGTGAGCGACTATCTCGTTCACCCTTTCTAATAGAAGGTAAACAGCAATAAGGTGGTGTCGCTGGACAGATACCTCTGGGTCCCCGAAATATTTTTACTACTTTAAATACAACTGTACCGGGGTTGAATCAGAAGCGATGTAATGACAGAATAAAGCAGCCAGCGAAGACCATGAACCGGCTCAGCGAACAGCACAACGCGGGAGCCGGCTGGATTGGCTGGTGTGGCCTTGATCGGCCGCAAAGTTTACTCTGATTATTTATAAACAAATTAATATAATGTACCATAAAACACTACACTTCTTTGTTTTTTGCATTTATTTTACTTTAGAAGTATTACCAAAACATGACGCTTGGTAACAATATAAACTTGGTTAAGTTAATAATGCCTTCGAGAGTGGTAGTTTTAAACAACTGAATTTGTCGTTATTGTAGCCTTTGAGATTTGTAATAAAACAGCACGATTTCTTTCATCTGAAGAAAAGTTCGCTATGAAGTACAAACCAAAAAACCGTGAAATTGCGTTTACAGATATTACAATGCTTGACTGCATCTCGCTTATTCATCGAAATTGGCCCATCATGTTGTCCGCATCGCCGTGCTTTTCCATTCTTTCTTCCGTCAACACCGCTGACGTCACTAGCAGCGGTGAGCCAATTTTTCTCGTTTTCTTGTTCCATTTTAATATATGTGTTGTTACTTAGGCCTGACACAGAGCCGACGGGGCCGATTAGACGCCTGTTCGCCGACTGTCGTCCGCACCGAAGATCTTCTTTTATAAGCTGTTCACACCACCGATCGGTAAGTGTTGTTGGTTTTGCTTTTACGCCGATCAGCTGCTGCGACACTGGTCATCGACTCGCGCCTAGCTGGGGCCTCCTAGCACGCGAGCTCGCGCACCGAATCGCCGCCGTGTGCGATCTAGCACGAGCGCTGCCTGCCTTCGAGCTGGCATTAGGCTTACTACCTGTGGGCCTGCAGGGCCGCCGCGGTCTTCTTTGGAGAACGCCAGCACAGCGATCGTGGCTGCCTCCGTGGTGCCGACCTAAAGGTAGCCGATCGTGTTTGTCCGTCGCTTAGCGCTCGAACGTGTGCGCTGACGCGACCGATTAATGGCGGTCGCTCTCCGATTCCTGGAAACTAAGGATCAGCCATTGAAGGGTGGGGGTAGTTTCGTTCAGTTGCGATCAGCGATCACCCTTAACGTCCGATCCGATGCGCGGTTCTTGGCGCTTGTGTTTATTCGCGGTCGCCCTTTAATCGCCGAGTTGCTAGTTTTATGGCCTCCGTTGAGATAGGGTAAGGAAGAGCCGTGTTTTTCTTTTTTTTTCTTCTTTCCTCTCTTCTTTTGTGACGTTGCATTGTGAGGCCTTGCTTTTTGTTGGCGTCGCACCAAATAACCTGGCTGCGGTTTCTTCGCGTGCTGCTTCTTCTGATAGGGCTGAAGTGGCACGAGGTGACCGGGGCCGGTGAGATGGCGACCACGGCTGCGGCATTCCAGAGTAAGCTTGCAGCTGTTTTTGTTCCCATCGTTTTCCACATGTGCGTCGCCCTTCCCGGTATAACAGCTGGCGTTCGCATCGCCATGGTTGAACACTCGAAACTTCGGAAAAGTGGTCCGTAATGCGTTTTACGGGCGCTGGTTTACTTAGGGACTTGTCCTGCCAGCCAGTGCTCGCTTTGCTTTTTTTTTTTCTTCTAATGACCCATTGTGCGCCACGTCGCCTCTCGTGCGCCTCCTGCGTGCTTGCAAGATGTGTTCATTTTTTTTTATTAATTCTAACCTCGTCATTCATTGCCCCATTTTGATAACCTCTTGATGATATAAAACACTCTTGTGCGTCAAAAAAAAAAAAAAGCTTGGTGCATTTCACTGCGGCTTAAAAAAACAACGCCGTGCAATCTGAAATATCGCTTAAGATTCAAGTTTTTGCTCCATTATTATTATTATTATTATTATTATTATTATTATCTGGCAACCTCAACAAGTTTTGACGTATTATATTAAGCTTTTATTCTCTGTTTTCGTTAAATGAAGGTTAGAAACCTTAAAACTGAAGGGGGGGGGGGGATAAACTATCATCTCTTGGAGCTTCTAGAATGATATAGTAGCCTTTCTACTGCTAGGCGTAGTTTGATGACTGCCACTGCCATAGCCTCCTAGATTTCCCTTGCCTGCCGGATGAGCGCGAAACGCCCGTCATTTGTGGCGGCGCTACGTGCGTAGCGTAAGGGTCTTTGTACTTGGCCTTTGAGATCGGCAATTTTGGCGTTTGATAATTTCAGAGGCTATGCCTTGTATTAAAGGGGTCGCCTGCTGAATGAGTGCAAAATGCCTGTCATCTATAACGGCGGCACTTACGTAGGGTCAATTATAATTACGTTTACGCTTTTTTCAGACCTTTCATGTTATTTTGTTGCATATAAGCTCCAAAAACGTAAAAACTTATTTGGAGACACCCCTACTTAAGTGGCGCCACCTCCATAGTTCCGATGACGGCCGCCTCCCAAAAGACCGCCGATAATCCGGCAGGCAAGGGAAATCTAGGAGGTTATGCCACACAATGACAGTGCCATGTTCCCTGTTATGTAGTGGCGCTATCTGTGTCTGAAAAACTAGATGCATGGGCACTGGGCATGCGAAGTGTGTGTTGACATTTTGAAATAGTACGTGTTATGTGAAGTGATAAAAAAAACCTCAGTGCAACTAGAATAAACGTACAGCTCCCAATGGTAGTAGTATATTGTGCATTTGGTGTTGCTTTGAAATATTCAGCCTATTGAGTTAACCAGCCAACAGGCACATTATGTCTGCCTAATTGTTTTGGTAATCATAAAAGGCCCTGCAACACTTTTTGAGCACGGTCAGAAAATGCTACTGACTGGTAGTAGTGGCTCCCAAAAACACGCGAGCCAAATAATATCCCCTTCAGGCGCGAATTAAATCTGGCAACGTGAAAATTTTTTTTTGTTCATAATTTCATTATTTAAGCCTTTTAAAGTAAGAAACTCGAAACAAATGCAAAATATGTTTATTGGTTCAATTTTTGCTCAGCGTCCACATTTGTGGACATTGCGCCTCAAAGCAGTAATATTAGTGAAAGGCGACAAAGAAGAAAACACGCTTTCCATTTAAATTAAAAATAACTTCTTTCAAAGTAATGTTGGGAGAAGTTACCAGAAAGAGTCTATTTAGTGTGAAAGAGGTAGAAGCAGTCATTCTGCGATGTCAGGCAAAGAAAAATGTCACACTTCCTGCAGCGGTTGCGGCTCTTGGATGAGCATTCATCCCTCCTGCAGCGTTGTTCGTTGGGTATGTTCATTTGCTGTGGCCAGTGCTTGATGCCGTCATAGCGAAGAGTGCTCACTGGCAGGGGTGACGCATTGGGTGCCTTCCTTTTCATCACCTGGGGGTTCTCACAGCTTGGTCGGCCACGCTTTTTCTGGGGCTTGTTGACGCTCAGCTGATGATGATGATGATCCTTGATAGTCTGGCGCACACCCACAAAGGGGGATCGGCCACGAACCGGGCGGCAGGATCTTAACTAAAAGGCTAATGGTTTTTCAAACAGAACGTAATTTTGTGTTCTCTCCATTCTCTTCCTCCTTTTCGTCGTCCGAAATGTCTCCATCGGAAACATCTCCATTGGCTATTTTTTAAGGACGTCTTATGCTGTTTCACCGTCGACTTTTTGTCGTCTCGATGCATGATCTTGAACTCCTGGTGACAAAAATTATTAACGTAAACATCATTTGATGCTGCCGGAAGTGAAACACAGAGAAATAGCAGCCTTTCAACAAAGGAGGCACTGAAGCGCAGTGTCCACGTTCGTGGACGCGAAATTTAGCTGAACCTTTCTGTCAATACAAATGATTTCATATTGCCAAAATATTGTTAAAAGGCATGCGGGATATCTTAGTTATTACTGACAAATGCAAAATTTCACGTCAGCTAAAAAGGTACGAAGTAAACGATAAAAACATCAGAGCCACTTACGCGTCCCGCCATAGAAAGTGGAGGCGTCCATTTTGACTTTTGTTTATGATGTTATTTTGAACCAGGTGCAAGAGATGGCGCCACGCGTCTTTGCAGCAAGATGCAGAGGTTGCGGGAGCATTGTTTGCGCGCGAGATTCAAGACCTATTTTCGAAACACCTAGGTGTGAACTTGGCGTCCACAAATGTGGACGTTGCGCCTGAAGGGGTTATACATAGTGTGCATGTGCGTCACGCAGCGCCCCTTCGTCACTTCCGAAATGTGCCGCCATGCCCGAGTACCGACCGACTCTGTCGCCTACTGCTGTCGTGTTGTCTCCTCGTGCTTGTGCCCATTTAGTTTTGCCTCAGTAGTATATTGTGCCTTTGGTGTTGTTTTGAAATATTCAGCCTATTGAGTTAACCAGCCAACAGGCACATTATGTCTGCCTAATTATGTTTTGGTAATCATAAAAAGGCCCTGCAATACTTTTTGAGCACGGTCAGAAAATGCTACTGACTGGTAGTAGTGGCTCCCAAGAACACGCGAGCCAAATATTATACACAGTGTGCACGTGCGTCACGCAGCGCCCCTTCGTCACTTCCGAAATGTGCCGCCGACATGCCCGAGTAGCTACCGACTCCGTCGCCTACTGCTGTCGTGTTGTCTCCTCGTGCTTGCGCCTATTTAGTTTTGCCTCACGATGCAAGTTTGAGGGCTGCTAGTGAGGCAAGTTGATTTCGTAGTCCCCGAAGAGGGAGCAGAGTTTCAGGGTGTTTCTTTGCCGAAAGTTATTACCCGAAATTGAGAACGCGCAATGCGATTTTCCGAAAAGTACCGGCGTGTTTGGCTGGCGCGGATTAACAAAAAAAAAAAAAAATACTTGAAGAAACTCGGTGGTATTTGTGTCTTCATGTGTCACTTCATTCCGGATAAGTGCTATAGCCAAGCACTTACCTGCAAACAGAAATAGCTTACCAAGATACTGTACATACAAACTTGTCAGAGACCACTACTTGCACAATCAGCGTGTCAGGGAGGCGATTAAAATGATGTGATGGTGATCGCGGAAATTCAGGTATTGCATTGAAACACACTGTGAAAATGGATGCGAAACAATATTAGTTCACTTTGAACTATTGCCAATCGGTTCGAGTTGGAGGGTCAAGATTTTGAAAAGTTGGTCAATTTATTCCCTAACATGGTTTCCATTACAAGGTGAAAAAGGTGTCAAACCA